GCTCCCTGAATCATAATCAACAGAGATTAAATTTCAAATCAAGAACAATGGGCAGTTCAGATCCCCTGTCACTGGAATCATTCGCTTCTGGCAGGATGCTCTCAACAAGAAAGTCAAAAACTTCAATCAATCTTCAACTGATTTTAAGATGCTTCAGTAACACTGCAATAGGCTAATCCTGAAGTAACAAAGAACAGATAACAATTTGTACCCAAAAGGAAAGGGTCTTGCTACCTGGAAAGGCACAAGCAGGAAAAGGCTGAAAGGATTACAACCTTCCAAAATAAGTAGAAAAAGGAAGAGTCTTGTTATCAATTCTAAATTGAAAGCTTAGGTATCATCAGTAAACATTCCCTTACCAAGACCTTCCCCAGTCTCTTCCAATTTCCCCTCCACAGACTGCTCAAGAACTAACCTAGTACTAGAGGGCTTCTCAGTAAATTTCTCTCCACTGCAAACTCAGTCTGTCTTACTACTCCCATTTGACTAGAAACAAAGACGCTTGCATAAGGTAACACAGAAATCAGTGGCACAGCCAGAAGTCAAGGTCTCCCAACTGCCAAGACTATGCTTATTGATCCAGAACTTTACCTACAGAGCACCTCTGGCTCCAGATTAGTTCAGCCAGATTATTTCTAAATATCAGACACTAGTATCTCAAGGGGGAACCCAAACAAATGACACATAAAAAAGGAATGGCAGCCTGCCAAAATTCTGGTTTAAGTGATTTGTTCACACCACACAGGAAGACTGTGGTAGAAGGAAGTGCAGAACTAAGCTTTCCTGTGTGGGATTTACCTGCATTAACCACAGGATTATTCTTTTTCTTCCTGAAAACCTCTGCCCAGATCTTTACAAGGCTTCCAGCACCTACAGCAAATCAGGCCACAGAAAACCACTATTTACTAAACAATCACATTTTAGTCCTACTTCTTCTGTGCGGGAGACATTACGGTAAAATAGCGTGTGATCACGTAATTGAAGACTGTATCATTCACACACATGAGGATGACCAACTAAAGACCAATGGCAAGCTTAACTCTGACATTCCTTAACTTGACTTTATAGTCTTAGCATTTTAAATAAAATTTTCTTTTTTTTTCTTTTTTTTTAATAAAAAGGTAAAATCATATTTCATTACAATGCAAGGTTTTAACCAAAAATCTATGGCAATGAAGATTAGACTGCAACAGGAGAAAGTTAATGTTCCACGTGGAAAAAGACCAGGCCAGTAGGTTCATCTCCTGGAGCTCACACATGGTCAGAGAATGTCTATTCTGCCTTGCTTCCCTGCACTCCCTCTCCTCAGCTTGCCTGGAAGGAATCAAGCTTCTCTCTTAAACAATGCCTTCCTGGTGAAGGTAGCAATTTAACTGCTTCCTAGTAGATGGTGTTTCCCGAGGAAACTCTTAGGGCCTCTCCCTTGGGAGAGAAATGGCTCCCCGGTTTCCAAGTGTAGCACCTGCTATTGCATGACAACAGGACTAGCTTTACGCTGAAGAAGTAGTGTATTTAGTTATCATCTCAAACTCCATCAATATTTCTGCTGTATAACCATGCGAGAAGAAATAAGCTGCTTTCAAAATGTTGGTTATCTCAAGCTAACTTGAATGGAATTTCAGAATAGACCACGGAAAAGATGCACTTTACTGTCTTGGATTGTTGCACATACACATTCAAAAACATGGCATTCTGAATCACAGTCACCTTCTTTACGACTTGAATGGAAATACTTACCGCTGCTCTTCTTTAACTGACCATTATTCTGCAGTTCATGTTCTACTATTACATTTGGTCTTACATCATATTAGCTGCCCAACTGTATTTTCAGCTTAATTTCTTTATCATCAAATTTATTTATATCTTTTTTTCAGCTCCATCACAATTGGCAGCATGGAAACAATGAGCAAAATTTCGTCCATGCAGTATATGGCAGCTCAGTTTTAAAACACAAGGACTAGAAAGCAAGTTCTTTCAGAAGTACCTCATAACCTTCTGTCACTATGGGAGGAAGTGATTGTAAATTATTGCAGCTTTTCCAATTTAATGAACATATTTAAATCTTGAAGTGATGGTTTTTCTGCCTGAATTCAGCAGAGGCATTTCAAGAAAAAAAGAGAAAAGAAAAAAAAAACCCAGAATATTTCACATTTATATTCACACCATGCAGAAGTAACTGGTAAGCACTGATGTATTTCAGATGAGTATGTACTACTTAGTCTACCACATAACAGCATTCTGTAATTTGCGAACTATTTTAAACCCTACTGGAATTTAAGTTTTCTGTTTTGCTTAAACATCTTGTGAGAACTCCTAATACACAATACTAACATCTTTTTTTCAGTCTTGAGTGCATCATACTGTACATGCACAACTTCTAATTTTTCCTATCCCCTGTACAATTTGAAGTTCTAGCATTTTCCATAAATACTCAATATTTATCTGGCATACTGTATGCTCAAAGCAGCATTCAAGAAATATTAACTATTTTAAGACTTTTTGACTATGCAGACATAAAAACTCATGGCACGGCTAAGAACAGAGGCTTGATACCTGACTCTGACCCCTCCCCAGTACAAGAGACAGAGGCCTACCGCAGCGAGTCCACTGAAGGGCCACAAAGATGATTAAGGGACTGGTGCATCTGTCATATGAGGAAAGCCTGAGAGAGCTGAGATTATTGAGCCTGGAGAGATGGCTGAGGGAGATCTTATCAACGTGTATAAATATGTGACGAGAGGGTGTAAACAAGACAGAGCCCGCATGTGGCTTATTAAAATAAAAAGGAATTTAAAAAGCCTGAACTTATTAAAATATGCAGAAGAAATGGTCAGGGATGTGAAGTCTGATGCCAGCCTTGGCAGCAGTAACCATGACACGGTGAAGTTTAAAATCTTCAGAGGAGTGAGCCAGACAAATACCAGAACAACACTGAACTTCAGGAGAACAGATTTTAGCTTGTTCAGAGATCTACTTCGGAGGCTGCCCTAAAGGGTAAAGGGACCTAGAGATCTGGTTATCTCCAGGGACAACCTCCTCACAGTGCAAAAATAGGCCATGCCAACATGCAAGAAGTCAAGTAAATGTGGATGAAGGCCCGCATGGATGAACAGGGAACTTCAAAAGGAAAAGGAAGCATGCAGAAGGTAAGAGCGGGGAATGGTAACAGAGAGAAGGTGTACAGAAATATTGCCCAAGAATACAGTGATGGAATTAGGAAATTAGCTCAGCTGCAGTTGTATTAGGAATTAGCTCAGCTGTAGTTGAAACAAGGGGAGGGCAACAAGAACGGCTTCTATATGTACCTCAGCAGCAAAAGCAAATTTATCAAGGATACCAAATTGGAGGGAGTGGCTGATACACTGGAGGGCACGGATGATATTCAGAGGGACCTTGACAGGCTGAAGAAATGGGCTAACGAGGCCTCATAAATTTCAACGAAAGCAAATGCAAAGTCCTGCACCTGGGACAGAATAACCCCACGCAACAGCACAAGCTGAAGGCTGACTAGCTGAAATCCACTTTGCAGGAACGGACCCGGAGATCCTGGTGGGCAAGATGAACGTGAGCCAGCAATGTGCCCTTGTGACAAAGAAGGACAAATGTATCCCAGGCTGCACTAGCAAAAGGCTAGTGAGCGCTTCAAGTGCAGTCACTATTCCCCTCTATACTCAGCACTGGTGAGACCATATATAGAGTGCTGCATCCAGCTCGAGAGAGACATAGACCTTCTGAGTCAACGCCAGTAGATGGCCACCAAATCATTTTGGAGCTGGGGCACATGACGTACAAGGAGAGACTAAGGGAATTGGGTTTGCTCAGTCTTAAGAACATAAGGAGAGATCTTACTGCTGCCTTTAACTACTCTAGTGGTAGGTTATAAAGAGGATGGAGCCAGTTCTTCTTGGAGGTGCAATGTAAAAGGACAAGAGGCAACCAACTCAAGTTGCAAAAGAGGAAATTCCAATTAAGTAACAACAGAAAGAAGAATTTCACTATGAGACTGGTCAAACTCTGGAACAGGCTGCCCAGAGAGTTTGTGCAATCTCTATTGCTGGAGATAACCAAACCTTTACAGGACCTGGCTCTGAGCAACTTGATCTAAATTGGCCCTGTTCTAAGTGAGGGCCAGACTGGATGGTCTCCTGCTGTCCTTTCCAAAAAAAATTATTCTGTGATTTTATTCTATGATTCTGTGACTCTAAAAAAGACACTTGCAATGTATCTGTCCTGTATTTTAAACATTTCTTGATTCTTCACTTCAACAACATTAATTGTATTAGGCACTAAGGTATATAAAAGTTCCTTAAGAACTACAATTCTTTTTAAAAGAATTTGTGAGATTTTATTTAAAAATTAAACTATGAAAAGAGTCTATCAGTGTTAATATAAATAGAATTATAGGAAAATATTGACTTTAACCAACGAGAAATAAGTGCAAGAAAGTCTCCAATATCGAAGCTGCGTTTTTACTTAAAACAGCTGAATACCTTCTGAGGACACTGTAAAAAAGCATCAGATAAATAAACAGTTTATTTTAAAACATCAATATATGTATTACTTTAATATCTGTGGGTGCTTTAAGACACCCACATGACAAAGGTACAGAAAAATAAACTATTCTTAGAAAAAAAAAAGTACTATGAACATGAGACTTAAGTGTCAGTGACTGTAAAAAATTTTTAGTTAGTATTATACTTTAAGAGGACTGATTTTACACACTTAACTTCTGAGACGTCTTGGATTTTGTGCACTTGATTACTTCTGTCCTAATAGTGAGGCAGTGCTCGTTTATGCCTTCCTACGGGAATGACTGTTGTCTTTGCCAGCACCAGAAACTGAATCAAGAAACTCCAGAGCTAAAAGCTAACAGGCTACAGTTTCTTAACTCAGAGCTGCATGTTTTATTCATAAAAGCAGATACCTACACACCAACTTGTAATACATTCTTTTGGCATATAAAGTTGTTATTTCACTTATTAAGAAGTTACGTATCTTACCTTTAGATCACTTCCTGGCAAAGTACCTATCCCATCTTTCCAGTCCATAGCACTAAATACATCAAACTCTTGTCCATTCCCACTAGAGGCAGATTCATTCATGATGCATGTACTAAAAACAAAAAAAAAAATATATATATATATATATAAAGGCTTTACCTGTAAATTAAAGTAGTTTAATGCTCAAATCACTGGACATTTCTTCAAATGCACTTTGAAATGCATAGACTAGTATCAAATCCCTCAACACACTTACAATGTACAGAACTATGCTGATAATAAAAACTAATGTAATAAAACAACAGCAAGTCTTTGAAAAACGTAGAAAATAGTATCTACTTTATACACTACTTATTAATGAGCTGAACTGAAGAGAAATAAATAATTTCAAGCTGCAAAAAGATTGACGTTGGGCAAACACATCCTAGAAATATGTAAGAAAAACATATTCTAGGGAATGAAAGGCATAAACACATGCCTATAATAAACATCGTAAGAACTGATTAAAATAACTGGTTTCCCTTAATATCTGGTAACATACTTCATTCCAGTCCAAATTAAAATTTCAAATTGAATTTGAAAGTCCTTCACTTTCATTGTCTGACTCAGAACATACAAATACTCCTTGTCTGTCACCATATAGGCTCACCAAATATTCGTTATTTATTTCTAAAATGTATTTACATATAGACAAGCATATACACACCAGAGAAACAGCTGTTTTGGAAGACTTTATTTTACTGTATCCTTCTGTTTCACTGCAGTGAAAGCAGAGCAGAAAATATTTGTTTACCATTAGAAATAGCAGACTTGGACCTCCTTCTCTGTTGTAAGAATTTATCTCCAATCATTTGCACAAGCAATACAATTATACAACTCCTGTCACTATCACAAATACGACATCAGTTGTGCTGAACTGTAAATGTTTTTAGCAGCCATTTGTGACTATTGCTAAGTTCTTCCTTTCTACTTTTTACAAACCCAGAGATCTTTAAATTTGTGGGCTGGCACCTAATTTAGTATTTATTCAACATGAAGTTTGACTCAATTATTTTCCTTGTTAAGGACTGCTGTGCTACACCTAACAGTTGAAAAGCTTATTTCACCAAAAGCTTATTTCTTTTGAAATTTACACTTTTTGAACTTTTTCAACAAATACTTTCCAAGCCTCATACTCAGCCTGCAGACCGCTTGCAAACTTTGGCTGCAAGTATCAGTATTTGAAATTCAAACAGGCAGGCAGTTTCCCCAGCTGTTTGACCCCAGTTTCTAAAATCTAATTTTTTATCTCTAAAAGTTCTACCCACAAAACCTACTCTCCGCAAATATTTGTTAATATTCTCTCAATATCTGGAATTTCCACAAAAAAGATTAAGTGAAATGCGTTCACTGTATTACTCGCAGATGATAGAAAAAGATGCAACCCCAGCAGAAGTAAACTCAGATCTACCAGAGGCTTCTGACTTAAAGTTTGAGGAGAAAACACTTAATTATTAACTGTTGTGTGAAAAATATTCAACTTTCTATTTTTGCAGTAGAAAAATTATAGCCATCAATTGAACATTATAGATAGACATTACTCTCATTTTGTGTTTGCAGTGTGAACTCCTTCATATTTCTGCATGATTTCTTCTTCATTTATAGCAGAATTCTAAAGTTTTTACCACCCTGAGCAACACCTTAATCCACTAGTACTTTTGTTACAATACAGCCCCTATACCTTGTCAACAACATGACAGAAGCAGGACCTCAATCAGTAACCACTGCTGACGGTGAAGGCTTCTGCATTCCTCTTCATTTTGTATGACAGGTCGGGTTCAGAGATGGAAAAAATAGCTACCTGTGCCTACAGGAGTTTTTTTTTTTTACAAAACTTTATAGACGTCACAAAACAAATTTGAAGAAGAACAAAACTGAATGAGTCTTTTCTATCTCTAATTTTAGTTCTTTTCTATCTCTAATTTTAGTTTTTCTCTGTGTGAACATATTGAAAACCCTACCACCAATGTACAAAAATTCACTTTTAATATATCAATAAATCTAAATAAATTTAGGGTAAATTGAAAAACTCTCAAACCCATACAACTCACCGTCTAAAATCCCTCCCAAGCAAAATGCATCACTCCAGCTTATAGCACCTCCTGAAATTCAACCTGGACAATCTCTATTTGACTTAAGAAAGTAGCAGACTTGAGCTCTAGACCGTCCTAAGAATCCAGTCTTCAGCACTATAATATACCAACCTAAGCAGGCTTACACCGAACTAAACTGCAACATCATGGCAGAGATGTAGGCATCCTCTCAGAAACACAAGACCTACCTCAACTGCTATGAACTAGCTGAAAAATTGGATTTACCCAGAAATCCATGAAATTTTAAGGACATAAAAGATGCTGTTTAAGCACACTGGTGTAATGTGTTCCTCATGAGTAGTCTGGCTAAGCAAACACAAAGCTTCACTCTGTATTAACTAAAGTTTCTAAGTAATCTTAAATTACCATCCCATTTAAAGAACACTGCACTCAACTATGCTGTGGTGTATTTATTACAGAAAACGTTCTAATGGCTTCTGCTCTGCAGAAAGAATGACCAAAAAATGGGAAGAGACTTTGAAGACCGTGGGGAAACGCTTTCTTGCAGTGGTCGCTGTCCCACAGAGCGAGAAGCAGCAGACAGCCGCTATATCACATTCTGGAGTTTCTGATAGTGCTTCTCTCATCATATAAACATTTTGTAACAGAATCACTTGCCAAAAAATGATGGGGGATGGGGGAAACTTACAGCCTAGACTACTTACGCAGGATGTAAACTGTGAAAGTCAAAATAAAATACTAATAATAGAACCGTACCGTGCACATTTCTCTCAAGAAAACCATAGAAATTTTAACTTAATTGCACCTAAGAAAGCTTTCATCGGGTAATAATGAGTAGCAATGGTGTATTCTGTTGTTTGACAAGGTACTCTTGTTTTGTTTCTAAAATTAAACTCAATATTAAAGGCACAATCTGTACTTTCACCTACTGGTCCTCTTTGCAGCCTTCCAAACTGTTCTGTGTAGGGATGAAAAGGTAATGGGGCAATACAGATTGAAGTGAATTTACCCAAAGCTGCCACATTTAACAAAGTACCAGTTTCCAGCTTTGCTGAGTTTGAACAGATGAAAGATCAAGGTTGATAGGTCTATATCCCACTGCTAAGGACAATGAGGAGGAAGAAGCAGACCAATTAAATCACTATAGCAATGAGGAATTAAAAAAGGATGAAAGCATTACAGTATCTACATCTAAATCACAGAACAAAGAAAACTACGGAATGCCTTATCTACTCATTTCCACTTTCATCTTTAAAGCTCTGGTGTGGTTCTCTGAACTAGTATAACTGAACTCCTTTTATAATAACGCCTCTTGCTATCATACACAACTCTAGGAACGTAGTAAAAATACTGAATTAATATGGGGAGTACTACTACAATACTGTACCTATGCCTATCACTGAATGCCATCTGATGTGAAGGTAAGGACACAAAATAAGAACGTGGAACATTCATATTCCAAAAGCCTCATCCAAAATCCACTATTAGGGACATAACTGTATCTCAGTCTTCCCAGCCATAAGCTGTAACATATATAGAGGAGTGTTTTAAAGCTGTGTGCTGCGTTTTCATGTTTCAACATTAACCTTGTTTTAGACATATTTAATAAATGTCTTAAAATAAACAAGCTTATGAAAGAAGATTAGACGCATCCTTTAGAAAACCATTCATTTTTACCAACTGGCTCAACAATAAGTGAATACTTCACAGAACTGATACTTAACGAGAATAACAGCATTAAAAATTAGATAATTTAATCTGGTGGAAGATTCTCTATTTAAAGACTTAAAGCTAAGAAATAGAAGAGAATATGCCAACTAAACCTACAAGTATTTTTTGAAATAATTACAGGGTTATGTACTAAGTATGTCAAAAAGTAATAATAGAAGGATTTTTTCTTTCAGTCAGGGCTTTAAAAAATTACCTGACACCTACCTAAGTTTTGAAAATCTAAGATGCCATCTATGACGTGTGCAAGGTAGTAGTACATACAATTTCTCACCAGAACGTGCCCAATTCAATACGGGGTCACTCAACAGCAAAGAGAGGAGATTTCAAAAGTAAAGCCCTTAGACAGTACTACTGGATCAGCAGAATCCATCTGTGAATAAGCATGTGCACTCCTTTTTGCATTCGTGTGTACTTTTATTTTATTTTTTAGGATTCCTGAAACCACCGTGACAGGAGTGCCCAGTAGATTCGTTCCAGGAGAGAACAAGCCTGTGCCTGCTCCCTTCCCCAACTAACAACTCTTGCTAGAAAAGAGAAAAACAGGACAAACAGAGCCAGAAGTGGTCTAAACAAACGGTGCAAGGTGTGAAATGAGAGCATCAAATATGGGAGGTGATGTCCTCAGACATCCTAGCGATGTTCCCTGTTCCTCAAAGACACCCATGGAGCTGGGAGATGCCAGTGCTGAGAGATGTTCAGAAACAAAGGAACAAGAGTAGGCCCCAGCCCAGCTTTTTGTCCTAACGTTGCTCATAGCTGTTTTGGTCAGGTCCAAGAAGGAGACTGCTTAGTGTAGTATCTGCAGATATCTACAGATAGGTGGGACATTTATAACACATAGGGAAAATGAAGTGGATCAGATGGGGGCAATTCAGTGTATCAGAGCAGCAAATAGAGTGCTCTAACTTCTAGACAGTAGACGGATGGATGCTCATTTTCATTTTTATTCCCTTTATCACAGAATAAAGTGAAAAATATCAGGGCTGAATCATTATACCCCCAAGCCACACAAAGGAGAATTATCCTTCGCAACCTAAGCTCCCTTTTCTGTTTTAGACAGACTTTGTATTAAGCTAGGTTCATCATGACACTGAAGGCAAAGCAAAACTTAAGCCAACTGTTGTGCAGAACGGCGGTACAAGGAAAAAGACTTACTTGCTATTCACTGTAAAGCTATCATGGTGAGTCCAGCTTTCCTTCCCACAATCATCTGGTTTGAGCTGAGTATACTGCACACTTGCCTCTCTCTTCCATTTAATCTTTTCGCAGCTGATTCTTTACTT